CACCAAGAGAAGGTCTTTGACTTGCTGGTCTCCAGCTACTTTGCTGAAGCCTAGTTAACCTGATGGATCAGGACTGCAGCACCATCCCATCCAGAGCTGGGAGGTTTTTCTGGCAGATCTCACTAATGACAATGCAGAGCAGCAGTGATCACTTTAGAGGACATTCAGCTGGGCCACCATAGTTCTGGAAGGATGATTAGAAGGATGCTACGTTGTTCTGTGGCAGGGGTTTATAATGAAATGATCCTTAAGGTCCTATTCAACTCAAACCATTCTATGATTGCCCATGCAAAAGGTTTTTTACAAAAGAAGCTGTTTTCCAACCTTCTCTGTAAACTAATATACACATGAAATAAGGTCCAAAGAAAGAAACCAGGAAATGGACACAGCAGTCACCACTGTCAGCTCAGGTTTGTGGGAGAAGACAAATCATTCTCACAAACCTAAAGAAAAAAATAGTGGGCTTTGCCTTGTGTAAGTGACATTGGGATGAACATCAAGGTCTTTGCTATTGCTGTGCCTGTGTATCTCATCAGAGTATAACATGTAGCCTTCAGTGTCTTTTTTACCAGCATTCAGATCTGTGTGATGCAAACCTAAGCTGCTGCCAGCCACTTCTCTTTGGTTACTACACTTCAGTGTCTGGTCTCACTGAACTCTGGCATCCTTTGGACTTGACAGATTAACACATATATGAATACATTTGCATATTTATTCTAAACCAGATGTTCTTCACGCAGTATGGCCAAATTCCCATCATCACTACAATCATATTCTGGGTTTCTAAAATAATGGAGTCATTAAAATTCCACCACATGCTTCTTAGTTAGAAAAAAAGGGTTATTAAAATTTTCCAGGTGAATTCTAAATGAATCCTAATTAAGGAGAAAGAATCCCTAGGTAATGTTAATTGTCACTATTTCTATCACTGAAAGATCTGGATTATACCAAAGACTATTATATTCTTTTGCAAGAGCTGTCATCTCTGTTACAGAAAAGACACTTGGAATAAAGTTTTAAAACATATAGTATATTGTTTTTGCCATAGACTTTTATCTGAGTTTTAACATCTGAATAAAACGTCTGAAATTATAACTTTGAGAATTAAAAGTCTCAAATGTAAGTTACTTTAACTTACAAATGTAAGTTAAAATAGCAGTCTTTTTATGTGAAAATTGATATTTGGTAACATGTAGCACGATTAATTACTGCTAAATCAACTAATCCAAAGCTCTGGAATGCAAAGAATCAGAGTGACATTGTTTTCTGTTAAAGCTGGAAGGGAAAGTTTCAATCCATAGAGTGACAAAGAAAAAAAATCATATAAGAAAGAGAGATTTATTTTCTGAGAAGGGAGCTAAGAGTAAGAGGAACTGGGTGAGGCTGGAGACTACATTCAAATAGACTTTTCTGATTCAACGTGACATTGTTTTTCTAAACGAAAAATTCCAGACAGTCAGAAAGCAGAGGGAATACCCAGGAAAAACATACATTTGGAACTGCTACTTTGTATTAAAAAATAATGTCTTGGGGCCAGGAACTGCCCTTTGAATTGTGGCACTGAGAAGTGAGCACAGAAGTCAAAAAATGGCACACCTGGTCATTTAGCATTTCTTAAATGATTAAATCATTCTCTCCCAGCTGACGGTGAGAGCTGCAGGCAGCAAAAGGCATCTCCCAGCGGCTGAGGCCCTGAACATCCCATTACACGTCCTGCAAGACACCCAGATGCCAGAGCAAAGGAGAAGATTTATTGAGGTTATTTAAGTCTCAAGTTTGCTTTGGGGCTACACATGGTATAAGGCAGTTCAGCCTGAACAGGCCAAGTGGAGGAAGGGAGGGGAATATATTTAAGTAATCCAAAGCATAGTGGGTGATGGAATATCTTAGTATCTTATTCTGGTCAAAAGCAGCAAAAGAAAAGAGTCAGTGAGAGAAGGGGAAAGAGAGAGATTGGTCCAAAAGAGGTCACAGCTCAGAAATGGGACAGGTCTGCTGATGTGGCAACCACCACACCACTCACTGGAGTAGGAAGGAGCTAATTGGTCACTGTTAAAGTCCCATCCAAATGTCAATGGAAAACTGCAACAGATATGATGGAAAGACACCTCTTGGCAATGGCACAAGAGGTTCTGCACTTGGAGCTTGCACCACCAGGCAAAGGTCAGCCCAGGCACGTAGCTGCTGTTGCAAAACATTGCTGGACATTTCCGAGAGAATGCCTGGCAAACTGTGCTCTCAAAGAAGCTGGGTGGATAAAGGTCTACAGCATCTCATTAGGTCCCAAGCATTTCATTAGCATTTCATTTAAAAAACTTGAGTTTGTTAAAAAGCTGTGTCTGAAATGTTTGGAAAGCTCAGTGTAGACAAGCATGCTCTACTGCAGTAAGTATGAAGTTCTCTTTAATGAGACCAAAGTCACTGTAAAGTTGACTTGAGCACAGGAACACAGAGAAATGTTAAACAGTCCGAGTCAAAACAAGGCACAACACTGGTGAAAGAAAAGGCTATCACTAATCAAAATGTTACAAATGCACCTTTCTGGGGGCATTCACATATTTCTATCATAGAAAAGAAGAGCTCTTTGGAAAAACACTTGCTTCTCTCACACAATGTTTACATGAATATATATTTTTTTAGAAAACAGGAATGTAAAGATAACTTCTAAGAAAGTTAGAAATCTTTTCTAAGAAAACTAGAAAGATTTTTTCTAAGAAAATTATCTTTAAACTTTTTACTATGAGTGTGTGAGTTCTGAAGATTTCATTTAGGAAAGATGTTCCAGTAAACAGCAGATAATTACTCAAAAGAGTTTGAAAAGTTTCCCAGTTCAGCTTATATTCACTTTATCACTAAAGTGTTGAGGAAAACAATAAATCAAAAAAAAGAAATACCCATTTCTGGTCACTGTATTTACAAGAAAAGAATGTGGAGACTTGCTTCATTATGTTTTCCTTCTTCTGCATCATTGATTCAGACACAGATTTGCAAAAATGCTTTACTAAATTTTCTATGCCACTCAGTCTTCAGCCCTTGCTTTTTCAGCTATCAATTAAATTTCTTCTTCTAATAGTTCCAAACCAGAAGTGAATCAATCTCTGCAATGGACTAGAAATGGAATGGGTTAAAACAGAGAGTGGGAAGGAGAGGAACGCATTTTTAGAAACTTTAACAGTCTTCCCAGTTCATGGCATTTTGTTAGGACTGCAAAATTTTTTAGTTTAACCTTCTATTTAACCTCAGCCTTCAACAAAGCCAACAATAATATTAAGCTTTTGCTAGAGAGGTAGTAGCAATCACTTCACAATGGTTTGAATTTTGTAAGCCTTATGTGTCAGTGCATACATTTATATCCCAACTGCAAATGGCCCACATGTTTGGTGTGAGCAACCACAAGCAATTACAAAAATGGTGAGGAGAATTTGGGTATTTGAAACAGATTTTTCTCTTCAGTCTTGCCCCACTTTAGTAATAAAAAATGTAAATTAAAAATTAGGCTGAAATGCTATGGGGAAAAAATCAAAATGTAAATTAAAAATTAGGATGAAATGCTATGGGGAAAAAATCAATAGGCAATTTCCTTTAATGGAATTGCACTGGTTATTGAATGTAACCATATGAGCGATGGCATCTACTGAATCCAGTGAGTCCTTGAAGTCTCAGGAGTCCAAGGATAGCACAACTCACCTGAGCTTGCTGTTGCCTGCTGTCCTGAGAAGTGATAGCTGGTCACCATTTCTACATCCAGCCTGGGTCAGCTGTGAGCCTGGACACCAAATCCTCTGTTCCCAGAGCCAAGGGAATGAATCTTTTGGTTTATAGCTTCGCTGTTCGGGAGTTACATGACAGGCACCCACATGGCACACAGACCTTGCACATGCCTTTAACACTATGCTGCTCTTGCCTTCATATTGGATAGAGATTCCTTAACAAAATCTCCATCCTGAAAACAATTTTATTTTATTTCACCCTGGCTAGGCAAAGCCAGTATCTGGAGATGGCAAAGCCCTTTGGTATCTTAATCAAGCTTCAGTCCATTTTTCTTCAATGTCCCCTTTTAACCCCTGCTACTACCCAGCCAATTTCTCCATAATCTGTTTTTCAAAAAGTCTGGGGAAAAAAGGCTTTTCAACTTGAAATCAGAGCACTGGTCAAAATTTTATCTGTAAAATAAATGTCTTGATTTAGCCCTAGTCTGAAGGGTATTAAAGAGATCTTTCTAACACAGTATATGTAGTCGCACAAAGACTTTTGTTTTGTGGCAGCAGTCACAGTTATAGCTCCATAAAGTAAAAAAGCAAGCAAAAACAAAATCATATTTAATACTTTTAGCAATTGCCCAAATTTACCAACTGCATTTTGGATTTCTGCTCCTCAGTATTTTTGGACTTCTTAGAAGTAACGTAAGGAGCCCATGAAGGCCTTGGAGGGATTGATCCTGCTCAGAGCTCCCTACCCAAGCCCTGCACACCAGGCTCTGGTGTGGAGGGCACAATCTGACATCCCCTTGCTGGGGATGAGGCATTGATTTCGGCATTAGAGGTTCCATATATTTATTCTATTAGTGGTAACAGGAGCCTTTGTAGCTCCCTGCCTGGTATTGTCACTACCAAGAGGTCCATGACTTTGGTGGAACTTGTGGGATCCGCAAAACCAAAACAATGACCCAGAGGAAATAAAAGAGAAGACATCAAGAAAGGGGTTTGGAGGATCTCTCTTATATAGGCTATGGGATCTCAGCCTTTTTAGTCTATAGAAGAGAAGACTGAGGGATCTCACCAGTGCGTGTAAATATCTCAAGGGCAGGTGTCAAGAGGATGGTGCCAGGCTCTTTCTAGTAGTGCCCAGTGACAGGATGAGGAGCAATAGTAATAAACTAAAACACAAGAAATTCCAACTAAACACAAGGAAGAACTTCTTTTCATTGAGGGTGGCAGACCACTCTCTGGCTGCCCAGAGAGGCAGTGAAGTCTCCCTCTCTGGAGACATTCCAAACCCACCTGGACATGTTCCTGTGTCGCCTGCTCCAGGTTATCTTGCCTTGCCAGGCTGTCAGACTAGATGATCTGCAGAGATCCATTCCATTCTAGAGTTCTGCAGTGCTGTGACAGGCAGGATTGCCACACGCCTTTACCCTCCTCCCTGGGAGCTCATGCAGCAGCAGCTGTATCTGAGCAGTGGAATCAGGTCACCTGTGAAAGAGCACGAGCACAAAGTGGAGAGGCTGAGGCAACATGGACCACATCTGCTGCTCTTGCACATTGGTAATTTGGTAGTTTATAGTAATTTGGTAATTTGCACCAGCTGAATGTGAGGCGTTTTTTGTAAGTTAACTTAGCCCTGCATTTTCACATTAGGGGTTGTAGTGAAACCATTTGAATAATCTGAGCCCCATGATTTAGTGCACCAGTTGGTGAATGCCAAATATCCTTACAAGCAGGCACAGCACATGTGGGATGCATACAGGAATTTTTAATGATAAAATGCAAAACTGTTCTCCCCTATAGTGAAAAGCACACGCAGTAACATTATAAATAAAATTTATCCTTAAAACAAAAATTGTGACTATGCAAGAAGAGGAAAGCATGGAGCTGTCAGAGATATCAGAATATAAAGCTTTTTAACTACAGGATACTTCAGAAATTATTTCACAACCTTTTACTCTCTGGAACACAAGAAGTTGACTCCAGAGCTCAAGCTGCAAAGAGCAATTGCTGTAGCTGAAAGTATTTGTTTCAAAGCACTGTGGAAGTAAATGAAAGTGTCATTTTGTGCTAATGTGATAGGCAGCTACTCTGCCTTGTCAGAACAAGCAAAGTCCTGTAAGCTTTATCCCATTGCCACAGGCACTTGGGCACCTCTCTGGAAATCAATCACAGATTGGCCTGAAGAAGAGCAGAGCTGAAACAATGGCACCAGAGTAGAGGACCCCTAATGAAATCCATTTGCTAGTCCACACCTAGGCTGTCTAGACAGCACCTCCTGTGCTTTGATCACTGATAAACCATCCTAAATGTTACCAGGGCTGCTTTTTTGTTTCTGTTTACAGGCAATCAATAGGCCTCTGGCCATTGCCTCTATTTCAAAGCAGCACTTTTCATCTGACTGCAATCAAATAAAAAAGAACAAAGAGATGGGCATTTTGGATATGAGATACTTATTTTCCTGTGATTTATACAATTTCAAATGAAGAGCGAAAACAAAAAAGCAATTGTGAGTGTACATGTGATAAATGTTTCTAATTAGGCATGCTCTCTTAATCAATTTGAAAGCTGTATTCCCTCCCAAAACAAAAAGGAAAAATTTAGTGTATGCTTTTGTTTGTATGCATGCGCATGTGCTCATACTGCATAACACCCACCTGCAGATTTTGGAGCCTGTTTTATTTGCATTGGAGCTACATGTCATGGTGCTATTTTGTGCTGTTTGCTAGTACAGTCATGATCTGCACTCTGAAAACTCCACATGGAATATCCAGGTATTTTTCCAAGAGGCTCTGGTTTACGATTTAACCACAGTACAATTCAAACCATAGGAACTGAAAAATCTACCCCAAAACATTGTATACTACACTTGCTCAGCATACACTGGCCCATAAATAATTCAGACTTTTTAGCCATACATACTATATGGCTAAAATGTATACTGATATATACATTTTCTTAAGATTTGTCTAGGTACTGTTTTGCATGTGGGTTTAAGCATGTTTTACCCAAATTCAAGTCCACAAATACCATGTGGTTGCCTTTAGCTGGATGTCAGTGCTTGAACTTTGAGCCCTTCTCATCTTTTATCTTCAGCAACTTGAAGTAGCCTGCTTAAATTCAGCCTTTGAAACCCTCCCAGCCCCTCCCTATGTATGTCATGACAGTTCAGCATCTTAAGCCTCAATCACATGCATTCTTTCAAAAACTCCAAAAGATCGTAAAACCAAGAAGAGATTTAATCTCATCTCTGAATTTGGCTCAACCAGTATATCATTTCAATACACTTTATTTCTTGTGTAATAATCCAAAGGCATTTTGGAGGCAGCTTAACAAAGCTAAAAAAAAAAAAAAATCAGTCTTGTAAGGCTAGGCATTTTTACTTCTTAATAGTTGAAAATATTTCTGTTTCAAAACTCAAGTTCAAAATCAACTCTTTCTGGCTCTTCTGTAATCTCCTAAATAATTGATTTCTTTGCTATTTCCTCTTCTCCTCTTTCTGATGATTTAATGAAGAATTTAATTAGGTGCCTTCAAAATTGCTGACCTCATGGGAAAGGGAGCAGATAAACTCTTTCAACAGCACATTATGCTTATACTGTTGAAGAATGGCACAATCTGTGGTCCTGTTTAACCAAATCTTCGACTTCAGATGCTGAAGGATAAAACATTGTGTGCTTAGCCTTGCCCCAAAATATTGCACAGGATTTTACTCCCTTATAAAAATCTCATTAAGTTAACCAAGATTTGCCATTTAGTGATTTACCATTGAAGTGACAATATATGGGGGGGACCAGGGGTCCAAAAAAAGTGGCAATGCATCAAAACCCCTTTTAAAATAGGTCACAGAAGTAGGAAAGTAGGGGGGGAAATAAAGTCATAATAAACTTGTTTAAGCACAGAAGTGATGAAGAACAGAGAGACTAAGGCTCTTTCCCAGGGCTGTGTGCATACCATTGATTTACTGATGCTTTACTCAGGTCCCTTAGAGGATGCACAAAGTTTTCAGAGTTCAAGTCCCTACATTGTATCCCTGATTACAATAGGAGGGGTACATTATAAAAACACTCCATAAAACACTTCCATGTCATTCCTTTGCCAACATTTTCTTTCAGATTGATGTTATTTGAAGTGAGAGATCCCAAGGTCTCTGCAAAAAGGCTGTGGGGCTGCATAGGAACATCAATTAACATTTAAAGTTTTAGTTCTTCGCCTCCCTTGTTTCTTTTCAAAAAGAGGACACGAGTTTTGTCTGACTGAGACAGGACTGGAGCTGCTGAAAATTGTTTTACACTTTTAGAGTAATTATAGCAGTTTTAGTAGTGGCCTTTTAAGATGAAACTTAATGCAAGAGAGAAAAGAGACTGAAATCATTTATAAAAACACTGAGATTCGTACATACTGACTCAAATGTACAGTGGGAAGCACTCATTATTCTCTTATCCCTAGCAATATTTTTATTACAGTTTAATTTAAGAACCATTCCCTCTCCTTGAAGTCAAAAGAGTTAACTGTGTGTAAATCTCCCAGGAATAAATGGAACTGAAACAGTGCCCCTTGGAAAAAGACCAAAACATCTTTCCCAGAAAGAAAAAAAACTTTGAAATCCTATGAGTACCCAATAACTTTGTGAACAAATTGCAGATTTGAGCCAAAAAGACATTAAAAACAACAGAACTCTGCCTGAAATCAGTTTACTTTGAATTAAGTTTTTATTTAATCTGTGCCTTCAAATGACATATTTAAACACTCTTTATAACTAGAAGAAGTAGGCAAAAAAGAGCAAGATTGAGAATTTTTTGCTCTGTAGGAGTCTTTCTTCTTCTAGCTGCAGTTAGCCATCAGATCTGTCATATGTCATTTTTCAGCTCATTAGGTGGGATTTTGGATATTTCTGTGTACAGTAAGAGGTATTGAGCAGTTGAAGCTGGGAAGGTCAAATATTAAGCACAATGTCATCATCCCTAATAGCTTCCAAGGAAAATTCTTGCATAATTGTTTAATGCCATGAGCTGCCTGTAGTGGGACATACTCATTTTTGCCAATTTCCATTAACTCTTGAGGCTGACGGCCAGAAGCCGTAGGAGCAAAGGAACGTACTCAGATTGGATCAAGCTGTTTTGCTGATATTCTTCCTGCCCCATACTAATTTAATGAGACACCCCAGCAATGAGGAGAAGCCTCAGAGAGTGGTGCAGCATATGGTCCAGTAACACACCAGAACACACTTCCCTTTGCATCCAGAGACGATAAATCGTGCACAGGGCACTGCTCAACTAGCTTTTGCATGCTTTGGCCCCAAATCAGCAAACAACTTGCACGTGCATTTTGCTCAAGCAAGTCCCCATGAGATCAACAGCACTGCTCATGGTGAGAGGCACATACATCACTGTGAGCAGCATGAGGGCCTTCTTTGGACAGAGATCTGTGGCAGAAAAATGGGAGCAAAGCCTTCCCTGCTGCAAACCAGCCTGCTCCTGGTGCTGGCTGGGGGGTGCCCTGGCGCTGCGAGCATCATGCCAAGAGCCAGGAGAAGGAAGTTTTTCAAAGTTGGCCCGGGGCACCGTTCCCCATTCCACTTTTTTTTTTTGGTTCCCCCTTCCCACTTTTTTTTTTTATTTTGTTTTTTTGCAGTAAAGCTGTTTTAAGAAAATTCATCCCTTTTTTCTGAGAATGTTTCAACATTAAAGGCAGAGCTGACTTTCAAGACTCATCAGTATAAAGTAATTAACTGGGGTAAATCAAGTGGAATAGATTGTCCCAGGAAACCTCTCTGGTGTGCATGTATAGATGCTCCACTCCACAATAAGTGAGTTGTAGTCCAGATCCCAGTGTGTGCAGAAGCCTAAGGGTAATTACTCTGCAATAATTTCATCTATTTTTTAGCCTCAGCCTTAAACTGCTCTCATTAAATCAGTACCAGAAAAAAACATGGTTTTCTTTAAGTAAAATATTTAAGTTAAAATGAAGCAAATTTATGGTTTATAAACTAGTTTATTTTGCATTGAAATATCAAATCATGGTTGAGGGACAGTAATTTTCAGCTGAAGGAGAGAAATCAGCAGAAAAAGAGCAATAATTTTTTTAACCACTGAAAACAGATAGATGACAGTGTCCTTTGTCTTGCATTTGCTAAATTTGTGTACACAGATTTTTACATGAGTTTTGCTGTGTCATCATTTGGTTACAAAACTGATGCCCCTGGCTACACCCATATTTTTGCAATTTAAAATTCAGATTTGTTTTGCAACAACACATCTCTCATTTGAGACCAAACACTTACCAATACTACATTTTAAAAATATTTTGCTTATATATAGATATTCATAAACTGTAAAGATAAACAGCAATATACAAATAGTATCAGTGTTGCAAAAATACTGCAAGTTCAAAAAAGAAAGTTTTTACACATAATCAGGTAGTTAAATGCCTCTTTTTTTGATCAAAACATACTTCTTCTCTTTCACCTGTCTACCAATTCCCCCAAAATTCTGGATTTGAAAACAAAATCCTACTCATCAGCAAGTGTTGGAATTTTATGTGTTAGGTTTTACCTTTCCCAGAAGGATTCTTTCAGTAAAAGAAGACTAAATTCTCTCAGTTCTCTGTAGCAATTTATGAACATGTATCATTGATCTGGTAACAGAAACACCTGCATTCATAGGCAAGAGCATGGAGGATGTACCTTATTAAAGTATAACTTCTGCAAACATACTTCTTTCCAATTTTCTGCATCCAAAATAAATAAAACTATTCAAACCCTGGCTGAAATTCTGGCCAGCAGGAAATCAACATGGAATTCACTGTTGATTTCACTGGGGACCAAAATTTTACTTTCAGATTCTCTCTGTTTTCCACTTTATGATAGGTAATGTGGCATTTTTTGATATTTTTGTCACAAAGCCACAGAAGTAGATGATGAGACTGATGGCCCTGAGTCCACAGCAGGAGCCTTGCACACATCTGAGCAGGGAAGGCAGAAGCTGAAGAGAAAGATGTGGTTAGATTTTCTTATTTCCCAATCAGCATTTGGATTGTTAATGTGGTAGCAAGTAGAGTTAACATTAGGGATTTTTCCTCAAATGTGGGCCGGGAAATAAGGCCAGAGCTGTGCTGGATGCAGAGATGTGGTTCTACACACCTCCTTCTGTGCACACACACAGTATCCTGACACAGCTTTGAAGAAGAGAGATATAGAATATATCACTGAACTTATAACATTGACAAGCAAAACAAAATAATTTCTTTTTTGCAAGACCTTTAGAACTGCAAACACACTATGTTCTACCATTATCAGAGGCAGAGAGGACTAAAATGAATATTAATTTAGTCATTCCTACTCAAGGCAAGTCTGTATCTGAATGAAGAGGTTTTTTGGGGGTTTTTTGGTTGCTTTGCTTGAAAAAAAATGTAACAAATTCTTTCTTTGTTGAAGAAGCCTAATTAAAAGCAGATAAAAATCAGGAAAATATTTCTTGCATTCTTTAAAATAGAACAAAATGTGCCTGCAATTGTGAGCTGAAAAGGAGCTGTCCTTCTGTTTGTTAAAGAGAAACTAAAGATGCATTGTGCAAGCTTATCTGTATCTACCCCATGTGTCACATAATCCTTTTAAAAACAAGGGTGCTTATTTTATTCAGCTCTTCCCAACAAAACTGCAGTATCCCACACATAAATGAGTTAGTAGTTTTGCACAGTCCATTTTTGTAATTTACGTAATAGCAGCATACCCCTGTAAATAGCTGTGAAGATAAAACAGTTTTGGCATGAAAGGATAATCATATAATCCCAAAGGAGTAGGAATTACAGGAAAAACTTGCCCTCATGACATTCATCTTCTCAAGAGGCACTCTTAGATGATACTGAAGAGAAACAACAAAAAACCCCTGTGATATAAATAATGCACTGGCTTTTGCATTTCCAAGGTGTTCTGAAAGTATGAAGCCAAATAGGAAGCTGCATCACTGAATTTATCTCTTCTTGTCTGTTCCCACAGCGCCATGGCACAAATCATGTAGACAAGCTTAGAAAGAAGTGGTTATGATGCCAAAAATTGCAATCATGGATTCTGAAGGTACTTGTTTTACACATTTCTACACAATGATTGCAGAGTGTGTGATCCAAGAAGACATTGCTCCCAGCTGAAATGCACACAGCCCTGCCTTCCACAGCACCACACGGAAATGCTTAGCGAGAGTAACAGGTTAACAAAGCATTGGCAAGTGGCTTCTTTGCTCACACTGGTGCAAAAATAAGCAGACAGGGAAACTGGGGCAGGGAACTGCTTTAAATTCTGTAATGCATAGAACAATTTCTCATTAATTAATTCAGTCATTAGTAGCAGTTTCCCTGAGGGTAGTGTAACCTGAACAGGATATCACAATTACAGCACTCGTTCCTTTTTTAAGTTTGTTGGCATTTGACATGGAGTATTCATCAAAAAAAGTCATCTCTGTTCAGCAAACTCTTAAGCAGCTCTTCCTGACTTCTCTTCCTGACTTCCTTTATACATTGATTGTCATTTATTCTCCTCATAGGCAAGGTCTGTAAGAGCATCAGAAGTGACAGTACTGCTTGCTTTTCAATACCTATAAGACCTCTATTACTGTAGAATGGGCATGCCTACCTACCAAAACATCAAGTTCTCCCAAATCTTTGATTAAGGAATCTTGATTTAATAGCTAAGCTTTCCAAAGTATTTGGGCATCTGAAAAAGGGAAATATTTAAGTGTTTTTAAAACTCTGATGACTGAGTTGATGGAAGAAGGCAATAAAAAAGCAGGGACTAAAGCCATATGGCAGGATTCTTTGTCACTACACTTAGTCTTCATGGGTGTGTTGTGTGCATGGATGGTTGGCACACGGTGACAGAGAATTGCTTGTGTACAGACACCAGTCACTGTTTCACTCTGTGCCCTGGCCCCATGCCATGCCACCAACTACTGCTCTGCTCCTAGACAGGAATAGCTGTAATTTAGGCAATACTAGACTGTATTCTTGAAAGCTTAGAAGTCACTCAAGATTGAAATTACTGAGAGCTGCCCCTTAAAAAATCTGAAATGCTCAATCCTCTCCTGTAGGTCCCCAGCCCTTCAAAGACCAAAAGGAAGAGGGAAAAAAACAGCCTTAAATTGCAGAGATCTACAGAAAATGAGCTCCATATTCCTAGAGAAGTATCTCTGAATTTCTCTGATGATCTGATGAATTCTGCTCTGCCTCACATGATTCATATGAAAACAGAAATCTTGTGAACAGAACATGCCACCTTCATTGCTGAATTCTTTCGGAAAGCTCTAGGTTTTATTTCAGTGTAATTCATTTAATGGTATTTTAGGCAGCTTTTAGCATCTCTCTGCAAGAATATAAATCACTGCTTTGCAAGGTGTGTCTTGGGTCCCAAGGACTCTCTGCACCCAAATGGCACCACAAACTTCCCCTGTGTCGCAACATGAGATTTGCAGTGAAATACACACAGGAAAAATACTGCTTCAGGAAACAGGTTATTGCCCATGCAGAATTAGGGCCACATTCTTTCCCACAATGCTGGGTTTTGATTTCTTGTCTGCTTCAGCAGTAAAGGAAAGGGTTTGAAGACCTCAGACAGTCTGAGAATTGAAATGGTAGAAAGCTTTAGATCACTCTGTCCTTGAAACAGGATGAGCGAAACATAAACCATAAGTCAAATTATTTATGGTTATAACAAATGGTGACATGTACAATGAAAAGGTGTCCAACAAAATATTTTAGGGTCAGTTTAGAGCAACCATTATAAATTTTAATATTCTGTCTCAAAGCAGCATAAGAAAACTTGTACCATATTGGCTGGTTATGGAGAATGTGGAAGAGGCTTTTTGCATCCACATTTTTTCAGCTTCTCTTAATTTTTCTCCTGTCCTATGGGGAATTTATCTAGACATTCATGTATGTCCTTAAATCTCTAAACATATATCTTTTTGTTCATACAACACTTCAAGGAAAATCAGGGCCACAGATGGGCAGACTAAAGCTTCTGCATCTTAACTGACCATTTCCTCCTGAACAAAGTAGCAGCAAACTGCCAAGGCTGAAGCTCTTCTCTTGCAGATGGCCAAACCCTTTATGGACATATACAAAGGTTTTGGATGAACCCTGTAGAACTTGTCATGTGAATGTTCAGTGGGTCAGGCATTTAATTTGCAAAGGCAGTAAATTCACACAGTGCATAATGCAAAGAGCTGGTAGTTCTTAGCTAAAATAGAATTTGTGAGATTGTAACCCATTCCATTAATCAATGGCAACATTGCCTCCACAAAAACAGGGACTATTGCACTTAGAGACAGCATCTGACTCTCCCTGATGCTGTTAAGGGGTCTTTCTGAAAATATGTGGTTACTGCTCCAATGAAAAACTTTCTAACCACATTTTATCATGATAATGACCAACACAGCCAGTCTGGATTATAGCTGCAAATAAAAATTTAACCAAAGAACTTTATCCGATGGAAAAATCAATATAGTTTACAATGAGTGCATGTCTTAATAGCCACAGGGCAGCCACTAATATTGTCATTAAAAACATTCTTGCCTTTATTAATTTATGTTTTTCCTCTTAAAAAAATCTATGTGAGCAATAATCATAAGGGAACACCTCTACATTCATTTGCTTTTCAAATGTGTCTAAATTATTTAGCTTGTCTAATGAATTTGTCTTGTACTAAGATCTTTGCTATCAGTCCTTGCCCTGCAGCCCTACCCATCATTGCTGTCAGAGGAAGTGTTGGCCAAGTGAGAACTGAGTGTTTGGGGGCAACATTAATCAGAAAATTTGAGTATTTAAACAACCCATCCAAAAATTGTGTGTTGACTGAAAGCACATTAAAATAACAAAAAGCTATCTAAGTGTTTAATCAGAGTTATTTTTAGTGTCTCAAAAGGTGTGCATACTAGAGAATTTTAATTCTGGCCTTTCTACCCTGATTATGTCTTTATACATGTTCCTATGAAAAGAGGAGGAAGAAGAACTCACTCTCTGCCACAGTGAATGATCCCAGGAGTACAGAGTGAATTTATTTAGTCCTTCTATAGTTGCTGCTAGGGATTATTATAGCCAAAATGTCTGTGCATTTTCTGGAGTACAGTGCCAGGGCAGTAGAACAGCTGAAAGGTCTAGAGCTGACCATTACTGCAGGAAAATTATGTTCAATTTGGAGCATCCCAGTGTGTGTATCCAACCACCTTACTCTTTACAGCCCTTCTTGGGGAAGCACTGCTTCCTAAACACAAAATCAATGAAGTGCCACTTCACACAGTCAGCTGAAGAAATTGAGAACCACGCAGGACATCACCAATAAAAGTGGGCTCAGAAAGCAGAAATCGGAAATTAAGCTCCCAGCTTAATAGAAATCATAACCCTCAGATATACTAAATAATTCTGCATCTGAATATTTTCTACATTTCTAGAAGTGTAACAGAAAATTATTTCTTTAACAAAGCAATCAGTATTAATAGTCTGATATTTAATAACTGGTGTGAATTTGCCACATCATCAGTGCATCTACTGCAGCAAGATGTTCTGGCACAGACACGCAAAATAATTTAGTGGAGACATGTGTTGCTCACATACTTGGTGAGTTCCAGGTGTCCCACAGAAGAACTCTTCTGATTAGTAGAAAGAAAT